CGATGAGAGAAGTATCTCGAATGGCAGCTATGGCTTGGAAAAATGAATCAAGAAAAGTTAAAAGAAAGTATGAAGATATTGCAAGAGAAGTTGAAAAGATTCATGTCAAATTATTATTATCCAGTTCAACTTATTATCAAAGTTGGGATCGAGTAAATTATCAAAATAATGATAATAATAATAAAAAAGACAATCATCATAATAATCATAATAATAATATTAATAACATTAGTAATATTAATAATATTAATAATATTAATAATATTAATAATATTAATAATTGTATGATTGATACAACTTCTGTAAAATCATCAACAACAGTTCCTTCTTCTATTTCAGCGAATAATGCTTCTACTATTACCGTTGCTTCGATTTCATATCCTAATCATAATAATCATCATCATCGTAATGTTACTCGACATTCTCCTTATTTAATTTCACCTACTATTCGTTCTCAACATTCTCCACATTCACCTTCATCAACTTCTTTATCACCATCTTCTCATCATCATACTCATACTACCACCGTTCCTTCAAATCATCATCAACAACCACAACAACATAATAATCATAATCATTATACTACAATATTACAACAACAACATCATCAACCGTCAATACCTTCAATGCAAGATTTTACTCATTCCCCTATTTACTTTTTAGAGGATCAAAATAATGCTAATCATCATCATTCTCAACAATCACACCATCAACAACAACAACATCAACATTCTCAACATCATTCTCAACAACAACAAAATCCTCATTTTCTATCATATGATTATAATCCAAATATATTTTCACAATTGAATCAAGATATTCATCAACATCATGATCTTCATAGTAATTCCACCAATTCTACTACTTCCACCACTTCTTCTTCTTCTTTACCAAGATTTAGTGATATCACTTTAGGTTTACCATTATTATCAACTTCTGATACTGATGAATCAAGTTTATTTAGTAATGAATCAATTGGAAATTCTTTAAATAGTTCCCCAGTAAATTTTTCTTGTGAATTACCTGATTGGCAACAATATTAAGGGATGATAAATAATATCATAAATAAAAAAATATTATAATATTAATAACAAACAAACAAACAAAAAAAAAACAAAAATAATTGTTTAAAT